TTAGATAAAAAGTTATAGCTATTTAAAAAATTGAAACACTTCGTGTAACTGTTGAGTATAGACTTCCTGCACCATAGATGCGTCGAGAGTGTGTCAGAGGTATGTCAAGTTTAACCCGGATTTGCATAAGGAGGGCATCCTCCTGCATTGCAAATACTAAATAAAATTTCCGATTATATAATACTGTATATAAATTATACTGATACTCTTTTATTTGCTAAAAACTCTATATGTATTAAATGAGCTATTAGAATTAGAACAGCATACTTAGTTCATATATTTTATTCTATATTAAAGTGCGATTTGTAGGTCTTTACACCGTTTTTTGCTAATATTTTATTTATATTTTCAGAGTTCTAGTTACCACAAACTTTGGCTGTTTTGCAATTAGAAGCGGAACAAGAATCTACAGAACATAAATTTATGGAAGTAAAGAAAAGTGCTGAACCTTCTAGTTGTTTTGAGGTAGAGTTTGTACCTATATTAGAATCACCCAGGTAGTTAGTTTAAGGTCTATCAGTTGAATCATAACTATTGTTACCTGAAGACTTCAATTTAGAAGCAATGCTTAAGCAAACTATTCAAATATGAATTTTTACATTATTTTTATTTTATTTACTATAATTAGAATGCAAGTATAAAGAACAAGTATTTAAAATAAGCTATCCATGCTTATAGACTTTTATTATTTATAATTTTACTTAGATCGAGTGTAAAGTAGCGAAACCTGATTTAGATCTAACAACAGATTTTTGGGTAAGGTAGTTTGAGATCTCAATAATAAAAATTATGAATATATATATGTTGTAAGTAGGAATAGAATTTAAGTTGATTCAGAATTTTTAAAATTAGGGTTGGGATTTTTAGTATAATTATTCGTTCTAATCTAAGTGGATTCCGAACCTCATTCCCACTTACAACATATAAGGGTTTATCAAAGAAAGCCTATATTTTTTGAGGTTTAGTAAGTTTATTAATGATTTGAATGGAGTTTTCAAGCTTTGTATCGGATATAATTCAAAATGCTAAAATTTTTTTTTTTTGATAGATTTATTGATACATTCAAAATCTGTATTAAGGTTTAGGTACTTGTATGAAACAGCAGAGACAAAGTACTTGTAATTAGAGACGTTAAAGTTCAGTCTGGTCTGATTCGACTTCATAAGTTGTGTCTTATTAAAGTTTGGTTTTAAGTCAGACATGGAACTCGACTTGTATTTCACATGTTAAATATAGCACTAAAAAAGATATATATATATATGCAAAATATACATGAATACACATGCACATAAAATGCAAGTTGAGTTTCAGGTCTGACTTGAAACTGAACTTTAATAAAAACTCAATTTTTGAAGTTAAGTCAAACAGAGCTAAACTTTTATCCCTACCCGTAATTATATTTTATTAGTTTAAAAACACTTCAATGAAAAACAAAATATATTTGGGAGATATAAGCTGTAATTTGAGATACGTTTCATATTTCTATCATCAATCAGGATTTCAAAATAAATATTTCTTTTTAGTAATCTCATAGTAATTTTTTAGAAATTTGCGAATCAAAGTATATTATCATATTATCAATAAAGTTATCATTAGTGCTAAAGGGTGCTAAACAAGTTTTATTTTAGTAATCTTATAGTAATTTTAATATTTCCAAAAAAATTTCATAAAACCTCTCAAATAAATATATATTCAATATCTATTCGACTAGTGAAAAAATTTTGAGCGTACTTAAGCATGAAATCTCTAAACAATATATTATACAAAAAAATCCCAACCAAGATTTATTTAAAAGTAATATTAGCATAGTATTAAAGACAAATATATCAAATGTATTTCTATATACTAAATAAAGGTAAATATATCAAATATTTTTCTGTGCGCTAAATTAAAATACTAAAATATTTGAATATTAATAGAAAATACTTTGAAAACGAAACTTAAAATTCTGAAATAATACATTCAAAGGTCAGGGGAGGCCAGGAAATCATATGTATGAATAGTTCACTCTACACATTATGTTTTTTAAGTAACTAGGGTCAATTAAGGCTTAACGTTAACTATGCCACAGGCCTCTTAATATAGGTCATAGGATTTAGTTACTAATTCCTATTGTTTATAGATTTTACTTACTAGGGAGATTAGAGCGAAACATCTATATATTAGTGTTTGAACTCTAACTGATCTCTTCCAAGTCTGTTTTATTGAAAAGCCAGAAGTCATCATAGTCTAATTTTTATGTTGCTATGTATAAATTAAACTTATTCTCTAAATGAAATAAATACGCTAAATGGTATAAAATGCCATACATACCATAAGTTGAATTTAATAAACTATACTAACTGTATTTGGGATAGATTTGTAAGATTCGATCTGAACCACTTCAATATCAACCTTAGCATTAAGCCCATATGATCACAAAATAACAATTTAAAAAGCAAACATAGAAATAAAGATTTTTAAAGGTCGTGATTAGAATTTGTAGGATTCTTGATTGCTATACTAAATTATTGAGACTATTATTTGTAGATTTTGATTTATAAAAGCAATGTACCAAGAACGTTTAGGTAAAAATTTTTGAAATTCAGAAAAGTTTAAATATACTATGTTAAACTATTGTTGCTTAATTTTTCAAAAAACATTTCTTAACAGGTTACTCACCAAATATTATATAGAGTTAAGGTTAGCATTCGATTAATTATAGGTAATGTCAAGTCAAAGAAATAATTTTTCAGGAATCATACTTTATCTGGCAAACTCTTTTGATCATAAATTGCCATTTTTCTTGTTATTTTTTCATATATTACGATGTAATCATGTTTATTCAAATTAAAACTCAATTGATGACTCTGGACAAATGATTGGCTCACATGCTACTTTGCAGTACATGTTCATTTGCCCCGGTTTTGTCAAATTACCGTTATTACAAATTTTGTCCAATATTGTATATGTAACTGATCTGTATAATAATAATTATATATACAACTTAGTAGATAAAATAATTAATGTATTAAATAATTATATATATATAAAGTATATTATTATATAAATAACTAAGGCATATATTTTTTTTAAAATATAATAAATATTAATATAAAAATTTTACTTTATACTATATAAATAAAAATATATTTAAATATCTATCTTTTTTAAAAATTTTTTTATTTTTCTCCTTTTTTAAAAGTCAGCATAGCTGATTCACTTTATTTCATCAGCAAAAATAATACCTATCGTCAGTATAACAATTACATTTTTTTAAATTTTTTTTATTTTATATTTTTATAAAAATGAATTTTGAAAATTCTACTCAATCTAGTAAAATTCCTATTGATATTCATATATTTCAAGAATTAATTCAATATAAAGAAGATGCTATAAAATTAGAATTTGAAAAAAGTCAATATATTCTTGAAATTGATAATTTAAAACAAACAATTGAAAATTTAAATAATAATATTCTTGCAGTTCAATATAATAATTCTATAGAAATTTCAACTTTAAAAAATATGCATGAAACTGAAATTTCTAATTTAAAAAATAAAAATTTAGAAATTTTACAAACTCATCAAAATGAAATTTTAAATTTAAAAAAATATTATAATAATGAAATTTTAAATATAAAAACTTATTATGAAAATGAAATTTTAAATTTAAAAAATTATAATAATTCTGAAATTCTTAATTTAAAAAATCATTATAATAAAATAAATAATGATTATAAAACTGAAAATATAAATTTAATTACTAAATATAATAATGAAATATTAGATTTAAAAAATAATTATAATATTGAAATTTTAAATTTACAAAATAAACAAAATATTAAAAATTCTGATTTAAAAAATCAAATTAATTTTTTAGAAAAAAAATTACAAAATCTATCTATAGAATTATTTTCAGACATTTTTAAAAATAATATTGATAATTTATCTAATTTGTTATATAAAAAACAATATGAAGAAAAATGTTTACCACCTACAGATCCAGAAGAATTTATAAAAATGGTTGATTCTTTTGAATTAAAACCATTTGTTTTATTATTTTTTAATGCATTTAAATCTGATAATCAAAATGCAAATCTATTAAAAAACTTAAGATTAGAATAATGTTATTAATGTATCATTTAGCTAGATTAAAAAACAAAAAAATTACAAATATAAAAAATTTAATTGGAAGTTTTTTACTTAAAGCTGGTCTTTCAACAAGAGCAATTAATTTATTATCAAATTTTGGATATATTTCAAGTTATTCAAAATTATATTCAAATATGATTAATTTAGAAAAAAATCATAAAACATATATAGAAAAATATTTACAAGATAATTTTAATAATCTTTTTATTATTAATATTGATGATTATTATGATTGTTATCAAACTAGACTTCCAACTATAACTTCTAATAATAGAATATGTTATATGGCAACTACATTAATTAATAGTTCATCTAATATTTTAAACATTCCATTTATATCTTTAAATAATTTTTCACTCTTTGAATCTGGATTAATTTTAATTAATTATCTTAATAATGCGTTATCTAATGAATTACGTAATAATTTAATTAGTTATAATAATCGCAAATTAGAATGGAAAAATATTTCAGATATTTCATCATTTTCAACTGAAACTTTAATAGAATCTTTATCAGTTCATATGTATAATGGTACTCTTGAAAATCAACATATGAGAAATTTTAATAATACTAAACTAATTGATTTTATTTCATCTGACTTAAAAAATACAGATGATTATTTACAAATAATCAATAATTTACTAGAATTTTCAAATATTAAAGAATATTTAAATAATAATATAATAATCACACCTATAGATTTTCCTGGACAATTATATATACGAAAACTTATTGCAAATAAATATTTTAATCCATCTATTAATAATATTCTAAAAGAAATTAATCATTTTGTTCTATTACTTGGACCTTTACATGTTTCATTAAATACTCGAGAAACATGTATTATTAAATTTCATCCATTTTTTAATGAATTATATAAAAATGTTTTTAATAATAAAAAAAATTTAGCAGAAAAACCAAAACCATGGCAAATAAAATTATTACTTTATATTGTACATGCAGGATATATTAAAATAAGATCTAAAGTTCTTGAAGCTTTTAAAAATTCTAAAAATGGTGGTTTTTATTCAATTTTAAATCTTTTAGATATCATTGTACCTTCAACTTTAGATATTTATACAAATTTATTTAAACATAATCATTTTGAATATTATTATGAAACAATATTTCGATTATGGATGTTTATGCAAAGATGCAATCGAAAAAATTATGATAAAATTATGCTTGTTTTTTTATCAGATATTTTACAATGGAGTGAAAATCAACATCCAATAATGAAAATATTTTTTAATTATTTAAATTTACTTGATGAATATCCAGTTGAAAATTTTCATAGTTTAGTACGTAGAAGTACTACATCTAAATTAACAAATTCTATAACTCTTCGAGATATGAAATTTTTATAGATCATGAAAAACATGAAAATAAATTTATTTCAAAATTTTTAAAAACAAAACAATATTTATTTTCTAAACCTCAATTAGATTTATTAGTTTCTAAATCTAGTATATTTCTTTTAAAATTTTTTACAAATTTTTATAAAAACAAAATGATTTTAAAATTAAAAAAAATAAAAAAATAAGATTGAAGTTTATATTTCAACAATTGAAAAACATTTACAAAGGGAATTCTTCCATCAGCATATCATACTGATATAATTCCAAATGAAAAAAAATTATGTGATTTAGAATCTTGTAATATTATAGATTTAAATATTACTATTTTATTATATGGACATTCATATCATACTTTATGTTTTAAAAATTTAAATTTTATATGCAATTATTATTTTCAATATTATAAAACTTCAATTGAAACTATATCAAATAATTTTAATACTTATTTAAAATCTAACAAAAAAAATATGACAATGATGGAGAAGAAATTAATAATAATAATTTTATTAAACTAGATGAAGATAATATATTAGTAGATATTAATATAAATAAAAATAATTTTGATGCTGAATTTATGTTAGCTATGAACAATTTTACTATAACAACTAATGAAAATGAAATATTAACACAATTTAGAAGAGTTTCAATTGATTTTTCAAATAATATAGATAATAATAATGAATCTATTATTATTTCAAATAAAAGAAAAAGAAATTCATATCTTACAAATCCAATTCAAAAAAATAATTTTATTTATATTTTAATATATATTATATGTAACAAATTAAATATAATGATTTAATAAAATTAAATTTTTAAAATAATTTATTTATATTTATTTTACTAAAACTTAATTAATAATATATTATACTCTTTCATATCTGATAGATATAATGAATGTATTAACTTGAAAGATTATTAGATTTAAAATACTAATAGCTTACTGATCATATGATTATAAATAAATATAATTAGCAGATTATATTTATTTTGGTTATATAAAACTCAATTTAAACTATATATGCTAACAAAATTATTTTAGGTTTCAGAATATAAAATTAAAATTTGAAGACAAAATTATTTTTGGCTATTTTACTTAAAAGATGATATTTTTTAATATATTTTTTTAAATAGATGAAATTATAAAAAATATAACTATCTAAATTAAATTTGTTTTTGTATATAAAAAATATCAAATTGCTCTGATGAAGATAAAATAGAATTTTTTAAAAACCTATTTCGACGACATATATAATCTAAGCTAATCAAATTGATTTATAATGTTTGATAAACCTAATATCTTATAAGTATCTATTTTTTATATTAGTTAGCAAAAATAGCAAGTTATTAGGTTTAAATTATGAAACAGATATAGTGAATCAATTTTTTATTAGATATAACAAATTATTAGTTTTGATAGAATCAGTTTTAGAAAAATATATTATAGATTTTTTAATTGTATTAATAATAAAATTTATATTTTCATACTAACTTTTTAACTATAATAACTATATATAAACTAATTTGTAAAATATTTAAATTTTTTAAATATGCTATATAGTAATTATAAACTTAAATAACTTAATTTAAATAATAAATTAATAAATAATTTTTATATTTATATATACAGATTACTTTTGTTAATATTAATCTATTTGAATTAGTTTTAAATCATATTAAATTATTATCAATATTAATTCAAGATATCACATATGTGCATCCCAAATAATGTACAGATACTTAAAATAATACACAGGTATATATTATTATACAAAAATATGGTAGTAATATTAACAAAAGATTATATTAAAATTAATATATATAAAGGAATTTTAATATATAAAAATTTATAAAAATTTGTTTTGTAATTTAAGTTGATATTAACAAGGGTAATCTGTATAATACTAATTATATTATAAAATAAATTTAGTATAAGTATCTATATATTTAAATAGTTTATTTTAAATATTTAGATTAATAAATATTTTTATATTTATATACAACTCTAACCATAACAAATAAATAATTATAATATTAATAAGTTTTTATAATTTATTTATTTATTTTTTAATTTTATTCCTTTTTACTATTCTGAAGGTTCTTAGATACTTTTAGAATCTGTTATATTTTTTAAAAACTAATATTATTATTCTGTAAAAATCGATAAATAGCAAGTGGCTGCTTATTCTTTACTATGCTTGTGAGATAACTTATACTCTATTAAGTTTGTTATATATTGTTCTGGGTCTCTGGCTTTACAATATAGAATTCTAACTTTGAGATTTGCAGTTTTTTAATTTTATATAATCTACTAACCAGATTGTCTGTATATTTATTAATGTCCTTAGTCTTATTAATTTGAAATCAGACTTTCTCAATATTAATATTATTTGTTGATAAATTATACTTTATCTGATTATTTCCGACTCTGTAACTATACAGATAACTGCTTTCTTTCATATGAATCTTGCTTTTTTTTCTTTTATGAAAATCTCCTAAAGATTATTTCTAATCATAATTCTGACAGAGTTTTTGTTACTCTTTGAACTTGAATTTGTAACTTTGCAATTGTGACCTAAAGTGCTAATCACTATACTATCAATCCAAGAGTTAATAATTTATTTAAATACTTGAATATTAAATAATTTATATATATATATATAATACTAATTATAAGAAATAAATAAATTAATTATAAATATTTATAAACTTAAATAACTTATTTTTAATAAATATTGTTAATATTTATATAAATCTAAAATTGTTAATAATTAGTTTAAATTTAGTTAGTTAAAATTAATCTTAATTTAACTACAGTCGGATCTCCCTAAATGCAACCTCTATAAGTGCAATACCTCCCTAAATGCATGTTTTTGTCTTGGCTGTATGAAATCATTAGTGCTAAATGCACATTCTATATTCTGCAAATGCACGTTCACTCAAAAGATTTTTTATATTATACTAACCTCCCTAAGTGCACGTAGCCAATCAGAAGTCAGTATTTAAGTTTGTTACACAAACTTGCAGATTAAATATTAAAAACTGCAATTTGATTAGCTCTCTTTAAATGTAAACTTCTCTAAATGCATGTTTTAAGCTAGTCTGTACATATTGCATTTATGGAGGTTTGACTGTAACTTGAAATGCTAAATTTTAATACAATATTTCAGTTTTGTTTTCAATTTAACAAGACTAGAAGATATCTAAAATAGTATAAATTTTTATGAATAAATGTTCTTATAACAATCTGTTATATATAACAACCTTGTATTAGCCAATAGTAGTTAGAATTAAAATTAGTTATATAAATTTTTATTGGTTGTACTAATTGAGTTGTTACAAATAAGTGCATAACTGGTTGTTATAATTAGATTCATCCAATTCTTATTATATATATATATTTTATTAAATTAACTTTAGGGCTAGGTTATTTTATATTAGAGTTAGATTAAAATTTAAATAATTATATATATATATAATCCTTTTTCTGACATTTTTAATTAACCACCTAAGGTAGGTTTAGATTGCTATTTTTTGTATTTTTATCTTGTTTTGCTTCACAAAATTCTATAAGTTGATTTGTTAAATATTACATAATTCTGTTTTGTTTTAAAC